AATTTAGTATACAACAGAATTTTCCATGTGTTTTGGTACTAACTAATTTTTTTTTCCTTTTTACTTATCAGGCCTGTGGTTTCTCTTGTTTATCCTCTGTAAGTCGCCTCTCTTAACTTATTTTCACCAGATTATATTCTTAAAAGTGATCAAATCATGCTGCATTTGTCTTCAGTATGTCTAGCATTGAATGGTAGAGAACACGACCCAAATTTATGGAGAACGAGTTATTCTATAGACCCAAAAAACATGCTATACATTTATTAGTTTGTACTACATTTCATCGAGAACGAGATAATTTCTGTGTTTGGATTATTTACAGATATTGTTCCATCAAGGCTATAGAAACGCAATCTCGAGCAGATGATCAGCAGTGGCTTACATATTGGGTTCTTTATTCTCTGATCACCCTATTCGAGCTTACATTTTCCAAGGTTCTTGAATTGTAAGCTCTTTTCATATATCTAACAGCGTAAACAAAAAAAAGGACAAAAAAAAAAAAAAAAAAACTATTTGCTTAGACGACACAACTTCAAGAATTGTGTAATTGTTGAATCAGGTTTCCTATTTGGTCTTATGCTAAGCTGATTGGCGTGTGCTGGTTGGTGCTGCCTTACTTCAATGGAGCTGCATATGTTTACGAGCATTTCATAAGGCCTTTTTACAGAAACCCGCAGGTTAAAATGTGGTACATCCCTCGAAAAAAGGATGTATTCAGTAAGCCAGATGATATTCTAACTGCTGCAGAAAAATATATTGAAGAGAATGGACCTGAGGCATTTGAAAGGCTTATAGCCACGGTAAGCCATAACCCTCTTCTACTTTATCCGGACTTGGATCGACAAAAACATGGAGAGTAACCCTCTTAATTTTGTGCAGTCTGATAGAGAAGCAAGAGCCAGGAGGGGTAAATATGCAGTGTTTCAAGATGATTATGGATATTATTGACCTGCAGCTATTGATAAACATCTTGTAAATTTGCTGCAAGGGTTGTATTTCTAAGAATTCTCGGAACCTTAACATGCTAGTATTGGTCATGTTTGAACCTAAATTCACAACTTGGGTTTCCTATGTATGATGCTTATGGTGCTTATGAGCATTTGCTCGTACTTGGCATAATTAATTTATGTTTTTGTGAGTTACATGTTTGTTTAGTATGTTAAACACGAGATGATTAGATGAAATTAGAGAAACAAAGACGAGAGCATGTTAGCTATGTCGTCTAGTTATGTAGAGTTCTATGTATCTTTAATGACATGTTTGGTACGTTAGATTGTTCACGAAGGAAGAAAAAAAAAGGTTGAAAAATTTGGTTGTTACCTAGCTCTAATTAATATGCTGTTACATCCATGAATATGGTTCCGTCGATTTCATTAATGAAAATTGCAATTAATTTGTACAAAGTCAAATTAAAAATGTCAACAAAAACTTTATAGACAATTAGAATTTCAGCCTTTAAATTTGCGGGCTCAATAGCCCAGTAAAAAAATTTCAGCCCATCTTGATTGGGCCTAAGAGTGGCCACTGGATAACTTGGTTGAAGACCACAGCGTGGGCTGGCATTGTGCCTGAAGTGCACACCATAGTTACTAACTACCCAATTAGGGAAAATTGTGCCAAAAACCATTTTTTAAAAATACTTCCCTTTGATTCCTTAATTTTTGAGGAAATTAGACTATGCACCCTAAATATGAAGTAATTTTGAAAAATCATGTGAAACGTAATTAAAAATTATAAATTACTGTATATTTTCTTTAATTCTACAACTAAACCCTAAAGCTCTTATTTTCTATTTTTTTTTTCCTCTCATTCTCTCTCTAGACCTCCCTCATATCTAGAATAATGCAGTGAGATTTTCGTAGAATTTTGAAATCACCAATATAACTGGCAATAGATTTCACTCTTATCATCGGAACTCATATTGAAATTGGCGCTGCTACTATCAATGGACCGAGGAAGACGAACATTTTGTCGACATTGCTCTTCTTCTTCTTTTCATCCCATTTTTAGGACTGGATTCATTTCTTATGGGTTATGATTTAACGTGGTTGTAATACTACAATAGTTTGTACTGATATGAACTTGAAACCACGAAATGCTTTCGATTAACAATTGAGTGGCCTACCATTGGATCTCTTCCTTTATTCTTGGGATTGAATAATGTAAATGTATTGTTTGCTATTACTCCACAGGTTGGAGTTTTTCTGTTTTTCTATTCCTTATTTTTCTTTTTCTTTGGTCTACTACTAATTTTATGTAAATTTATTTGTAATTAGACATTGATTGTTCATTTTCGTTGACCTTTTAGTTTTCGTAGGTTGGAAAGTGAAACGAGCAGCGGGAGAATGGAACGTTCCCCCCCGGGGCAAAACTATGTCAAATTGGTTGTGCATTGACCTTTTGATTTGAAGCTGTTATAAGATAATTATTTGATTAATAAGGCATTATTTTAAAATTTTTATTGTTAATTCTAATGCTTCATCATTGCATATAAACGTTTTGGCCAAGATGAATGTTCGATTGTTATGCCAAAGTTAGTTCAAATCATTTGTTTGCTTGCTATCAAAAGCATATGTGGTTTTACTCATTTCAATTACTGCGCATATCAAGTGTTCGATTAATAGCCTCAAATGCATTTTTGTGTTAATCATGCCATGATTTTAGTATGATACATAGAATATACACACATAAACACTTAACTTTAAAAAGTGACATTGTGTCACTTTTTTATTTTACTTATTTCAATTACTGTGCATATCAAGTGTCCGATTAATTGTTCCAGATGGATTTTTGTGTTAATTATGTCATGATATTTGTATGATACATAGATTATACACACATAAACACTCACATGTCATTGTATATCTCCATTTGCAAGAATTGTATGACAATTTAGGGGGACGCATATTCAAGCCTACGTTCCTCCATATGTCCTCTGCGTCCCTATTTGAGTCCCTACTTGCAGTCCCAATTTTCTGCTTATTGCTTATTTAGGATTGCTATATCATATATGAGTAACTAATGGTCGATCAGCCATGTTGACTTGTTATGAAGAGAAGCAAGGAGGCCAATTGAAGTGGGGAAAAAAGGAAAGAGGAAGATCAGAGCAAGACAAGCAGAGAAGGAAATGCAGCCAATGGTTTCCTTGAAATTCATCCAGTACAAAAAGAAACTTTTACATTTTTGTTTTCTATTATAACCTAGAGATGGAATTGGGAGAAAGTTGTGAATGAATATTGTGAAAAAATCCACCATTGCCTCTAGGTTATAATAGAATGTTTTTAGGAAAGGTACACTGTTTCTATGGATGAGCAAGATGTTTCAACTTTTATAGAGGCGTCATTTTCTGCATTTTTACTGCAAAGTTTAACAGTATGTTGGTCCTTACTTTTCCTTAGCTTTGGAATTACACAGAACTTGTAATCTTGGATAGAAAATTCACTTATAGAACTATATATGCTTCGTAGGATTTTTTTGGTTATAAATTATATTTGAGTTCTGATACTTTACAACTTATTCTCCATTTTCTGTACAATTAATGTTATGAATCTAAATGGGAAAATATTTGTTTTCCATTTTCCGCCTCCTGTTCTTGATTGCTAACTGGCTATTGCATTTTCTTGTTCTGTCACTTTTTTTGAGTTTCAATCACTTTTTATAGTGTTGTCATTATTTTCTCTCACTTTTTTGGTCACTTTTTTTACTAACAAAATCACTTTTTTATAAAAGTGAGATTGTGTCACACTGTCACTAATTTTATGCATTACCATCTAGGGATGTCAAAGTTGCTCGTCAATTTTATAAAAATGACAATGTGTCATTTTTAACATTTTGTCACTTTTTTTAGGTTTTTGTCACATTTTAAGTTTTTGTCACTTTTTAATGAGATAAAAAAGTGAAATAATATGTTATATTTTTCTAACATAATCATCAAGTGGATTGGCCAGGGCGTGCTCATTATTTTAAGAACATGATTACTGGTAATACACAAATGGATGGTGTAATTTTGGTATTTGTCATTTTTTTTTCTGAGTTCGTGTCACTTTTTTGAGTTGGTATAACTTTTTGAGAGTGTGTGTCACTTTTTTTAAAAAAGTAAAAAAGTGACAATTTTTATATAAAAAAAAGTGACATTGTGTCACTTTTTCATTTTACGCAATATTTTTTATTTCCCAAAAACCTTTCATATGATTTTTCAAAATATCCCTAATTTGAAGGGTATTTTTGTAAGTACCCTTTTTGGTCTTCTGCTGAGATAACCCACATCCCACATAATACCTTCTACTATGCCCAATCAAGATGAGTCCAATTGAGGGCAAATCTTTTTAACTGGGCTATTTAAAGGTTGAAATTATAATGGGAAAATTAGACGCTATACCCTTTTTTTAAAAATGTTTTGATTAATACACTTAAACTAATTAAACATTTTAAGGAAGTTTTAAATACGTCATAAACCACTTGACATGGAAAGTATTTGCAGAATTTACGCACTAATCGACTGTTTATGGCCCATGTGGTGCTGCTATTTTCAAGGTGACAAAACTTCTCATTTTTACTTGGCGAGCATTGCTTTGCAGGATTTTATACATTTTCCCCATACATTTCAGGAAGTGGACGAGCCATTGCAACTTGATATGTCAGAATTGTCACTGAACGATGATTTTGAATGGATAGCGTTTTCATAGTTTCTTATTTATTAATTTCTTGTGAAAAAACATAGTGTAGGAAAATTCACATTTACAAATTTAAATAGGAAACTATAAAGATATCTAATACATATGTACACATACATCTCTGGTATACCATTGATATGACCGGTGAAGTATTTTACATTCTACTTATTAATCCAATGAGCAGCTACTAAGCGCTATAGCTCTATGTGATTATGGTGCTTCGGCTCATTTACCCATGTTAAAGAATCATCATCAAATTTTTAGTAAAGAATTTGAGACCAAATGCATATTGTTCTTTAAGTGAAGATTTGTTGTTTCTTTGTAGAGATGTTGATGATCCTCACACATTCATCGACCTTTACTTTTGCAGGATTACTGGGGGTTAGTGAACCTACATACGATTTGTCTGTTGGAATGCAATTACATTGTCAAATAGTAAAGCTCAGGCTTTATTATACGAATTTTACTGGAAACACTTTGATTACCATGCACTCGAAGTTTCATCTTATTGAAGAAGCAGAGATGGTGTTTAGGCTAATTGTGGAGAGAGATGTTATTTCGTGGAATACTCTTATTAGTGCTTGTTGTCATTGCGATGATAAGTCTGAAGTTTTAAGTGTTTTTAGGGAGATGGTGATGGACACGAATGTGAAAGCCAATGATTTCACTTATGCTAGTGTGCTTTCTGCAGCTGCTGGTTTGGCTTCCATGTGTCATGGGAGGAAAGAGAAGGAAAAATTTAGTGGTTGTTTGGTCGCTGATGTGTTTCCGTATCGATTTTTGCTTTAGTAATTTGACAAACAAGAACAAAAAAACTCATTTAGTTTCCAGTTTTTACATTTATTTATATGAAGCGGAAACATGAAAATTCTGATAATAGACCGTTGGAATGTATATAGGTGATGTGTGTGGTATATGTTTTCTACATGAGAGGAGTTTATTTTGTGAAAATCTATATATAGTTTTCTCTGGTGTTTTTGGTATGAAACATGTAGGATGTGATAATCTAAAAACCAACATTTTCGCTC